AGGTTGAATTCTTCGAATTTGATGTCCAAAAGAATTTCTCTGAAATAAGTAACTTGCATAATTGGCAATTTCTGAATTTTTTCTTCAACGGTTTCTTCATTGAGAGAGCATGAAACTGGGAGGCAATTGTTGGTTCAAGGTTTCAAGGTTAGGAAAATATTCTTGAAAATTCTTGGATATTGCTATGCAATTCGCGGAAAGGAAAAAAGTTCAAGACACAGAGTTTAATTTTAAGGGATCAGGAAATACTGTGAGTTCAGTGCTTTTTTGACTTGGTATACGTATTGGGTGTCAATGCACCGATTTCATGAGTGTGATTTTGTACTTTGTCAATATCTAGCAGTAAATAAACCTATACTAATCATACTGATCAGCAGTTGACTTAGTTGTCTGCTGTCGAAAGACCCTCAGTAATTAGCTCAAAGGTCAGATAGTATTAAACTTGATCCATAATGTTAAAAAAAACTATAGGCATGAACATTTCTTTAGGCTTTTTAAAGTTTTACATTGGATTTCTGCCTTGGCTGAGAATAATATGGCATACATTTCAGTGATTATATCTCCACTACCCTGAGTCTTCGGCGTTCATAAATATGATGGTCTCGTGAGCAGCCTTCATGGAACGTCTGCTATCTCTTTGCCTTTTCATGCCTCCAAAAGTCAATGGGTAGTATACATGGACGTTTCATAGTTTACCTATGGTAGACCATATTCGCTGCTTTGCAAAAAGCACCGTATTCAGGATGAAAAACGACAGTTCCTGCTCATTTCAATGGATATTCCTTTGAATGGCGCATCATGTAGTTTTTCTGTATAAGAGACATCGCTGAAGAGGGTGTTCATTGCGCTCCTCGACAAAGTCATTTTGCGTGTGCTGCATATATTCATTAATCAAGCATTGTATGGAGTTCCTTCGCAGTCATTTGACTGAGCATTTTATTCACGAGAATCATGACAAAGAAAGTGTATGAGCAGCAGCTGATGTGCAGCAAAAAAAGATTGAGAAATTCAGGTTACAAGAGACTGCTGTATACTACAGATGAATAATAGCTCATGTGTCGCTTTGAGTATGCAAGGGCAACTTTGAACTGACACTTCGAAACATTTTGTATTCATAGAAATTGAAATGAGTGAAGCTTCGCTGGCTTGCTTCACTTTTTATAAAGGCTTTCGTAGAATTACTGCAAGAACTGAGCCTTGAACATTTTCCAGTAGGACTTGGAATGGGGACGATAGCCTCATATGGTAGTTATTGTATGACGCTCCAGAATATTTTGTAAAATAGCTCAAGGACGAAGAAAACATTTTGACCAAATTATAAAAAGTTGGAAAATATCGGAATTTTGCAGCAGAGACTGATCATGTCAGCGAATACCCCGAAGAGATCAGATACAGTCGGTAGTTCATCCAAATTTTTGAATTGGTAATCGCAGGGAAAGAATTAGATTTAGCCTGATCAACTTCATTGAAATATTTCCAGATGAAAGTCAATCAGGTTACCTTTATAGTCTCAAAATTGAATAGGTGATCTTCAGCCAAACCAAAACGACTCAATTTAGGACGAAATTTCATAATTTCAGCTCTGTGGTGAAAAAAATTTCAAGATTACAAATATTCAAACATTCGTACATTATATTTCATAGGAACGAAGCCGATGGCGCTTCCAGCTATTCTCCATTGATAATGTTGAAAATATACCAAATTGCTCAGAAGTCTCGATCGAATCGTTGCATGTTCATGTGCCTTGTTGATGAATGCATACAATTTGAACCTACTGCTTCAGAGATATTTTTGTACAAATATCAAAAACCCATGTTGGTAAAATCGTTGGAACACCTTTTCAGTGAACCTAGTTAATCTCGTTTCGACAGATCCAGCTGAAAAATTGACCCAAACACTATTGACGCAGCAGGAGTGTTTTGATACAGATTTTTATAGCGTTATATCGCATGCAGTTTAAAATCCAACTTAATAATATTATTACAAATATGGGCAACGTACAATATTTTATGCCTACACGGAATGAACGAAAGCTAAAATAAATACCTTTCGAATTTTCAAAAAAATCTCAAATTCCAAAAGACCAGGACCTGTAACCGATAGCATATTGGAACCGACAATGACATATAAATTCCGCACCTTCGTCTGCGTGTTTAATAACCTTTTAGTCGTCTAGAATAAGTACGTTAGTAATTTAATAATACGTACGCTTTTAACAGGGTAACCAATCAACCATCAAATACTCGATCTCGCTACTTTATTCAAAGGACTTAAGGGTTCTTCTGAACCTAGAAAAATCAGCAGATTCTATCCATCGCACCCACAACTCTTCTCTCTTAAATGACAACGAAGATTTCAATCACGTTAGCAGGCCCTACGGAACAAGCATCAAAACAACTCGAGTAGCTGATTGCTGAATGAAATAGAAAATAGAATGGTCTTCCGGTTCTGAGCACGCCAGGCGGAACGACATGTGTGGCTGATGAATTATGCATCGTCACTCGCGTGTTCGCGGAGGCGCCCATGCAAATAAAAAAAAAAGGCAAAGAAAAGAACGGACGCAATTCGCGAGGCGTTCTGACAATGTTTGGGAATGCGTATGAAGTACAGTACATGTTCCGTCCGTTATCACCCCTTTTCTGCCCTGCTTTGTCCTGCGTTAGTACAAGGGAGGCCGCGCCCTTCCAAAAAAGTCATCGCGTACACAACAAGACGCATATATACGAACGAACGTACCGCCCCCATATAACGCTGGATGTGTAGGCGCGGGATCCCGGCGATTCTGCGGAGGATCTCCCGGGGAACGCAAGTGCATCACCCGAAAGATCCTCGCACTTTACGCGAGTGATTCCGGATTTATACAAACATATACATATTTTTTGTGTGTGCACTGTGTTATCTTGCATTTTCTGCACATGTCGAGTACTGCACAGTGTTTACTCGAATATGGAACGACGTCGAGCACGAGACACGCGTCTGATGCGTCCCACATTCAAAAAGGAAACAGATTTTATCGTGATTAAAATTTGTTCTTTCATAAAATTTAAATTCCTTGTCATCAGATGCGTCTTCTAAATCCAACACTTCTGTCCCAAGGCTGAACATTCACAAATCATTTAAAAAATCAGAAGTTAATCTATCGTTCCTTGAAACCAAAAATTGACGTGGGGATTAGTTGCTGTATTTAATTTTCTACCTGATTCCAATGGTAAGGGTCGTCTTTCACAAATGAAATCATGCATTCTACCTTCAGAGAATCGTGCTATTAAAAAAGGAAAAATAATCCAATACGCCAATCGATCTGATGCATTAATCTTTGTGAAAGTATACGACACCATACGTTTTGAATATAATTTAGCGGGGGGGGGGGGGGGGGGGGGG